CGGATTATATCCAAGAAGTGATGAAGAAACTGTTCTTGTCATCAGAAAACCCACCCCGCTCAAACCACTCTTTTCCTTTCCTGAAAAAAAAAAAATGTATCTCCTGTTTGATTCACAAAATGGCTTTGACCCGCCCATCAATGTTCAGAAATTCCTAGTGTATCTATTTTATTCCTTTCTAGTTCTCTGCCAACGATGACATGTTTTCCCTGATACATGCTTCTAATATTCCATGTTCCTAAATTAAATGTTTTCTTTAGAGCGTTGACAGAGTTTTCTGTTGTAGTACCGTCGGGCCTAAGGCCGACATCCCAACTACCCTTACTTGCTCTGGAATCGTTATCTTCCTCAGTTCGCGTTTGTGATCTGCCTGGCCTGGGGGCCTCACCATCAGATCATTGAGTTTCATTTTTGGCTTCCATTATGACACACTGTGACACACTACACTGTGCTAGTTTCCCGTTGCTTTCCACGTCCACATGGCTTTACGTCCTCAGCCTTTAGCAACCTTTTCGATTGTTAGGGCAAGTGAGTGCTCTGCTCTGTGATGCTCCTGCTAACAGCAGAGGGCACCCAGAGGTGTCCAGTTATCCCCGCAGATACTCGGTCCCCATAGCTACGTTGGCAACACCGCAGTGTGTTTTCCTTCCTCTACCGCGTGGAGGTGCAGTTAGGGTTTTCTTCACGGAGTCCTGACACCAGAATGGCATTTCCCAAAACTCTCCAGTACTTTCAGAGGACTACCACACACCACGTCTACAAAATTAGTTACCTACCATGCTACACACTACATCTACAAGATTAGTTACCTACCATACCACACACCACGTCTATAAAATTAGTTACCCACCATGCTACACACTAAATCTACAAAATTAGTTACGCACCATGCTACACACTACATCTACAAAATTAGTTACCTACCATACCACACACCACGTCTATTAAATTAGTTGCCTACCATGCTACACACTACATCTACAAAATTAGTTACCTACCATACCACATCAGTGCAAGACGTTAGAGCCTACAGGGGAGCTGATATTGGCAGTGATCATAATCTTTGTATTGCCAAACTAAAAATTAAACTCAAGTCTCTACTTAAACCACCCAGAAATAAGAAAATAAACTTACAAGCCCTTTTGTCAAAAGATCATCAAAGCGCATTTAATGCAGAGATACTCACCACCTATGAAACCAAAACTAGTAATGCGGATACTACAAATAACATAGACAAAAATTGAAACTTTTTCAAGAACACACTGACGAACGCTGCAGTAAACACAGTTGGTTATGTACAAAAGCAGAAAAAAAAAGTGGCTAAGCGACAACACTTGGTCAAAAATCCAAGAAAGGGAACAAGCAAAATTAACACTTTTATCCAAAAAAGACACATCTTCATACGAAAAATACAGTACGCTAGACAAAGAAGTGAAATCAAATGCAAGGAAAGACAAACAGAACTTCATATACGACCTCGCCTCCGATGCTGAAACAGCTGCCAAGATTGGAAACAACAAAGCCGTATTCCATATTATGAAACAACTGTGCAATCACTCACCTACACTAAATACACCCATTAAAGACAAGCAGGGTAAACTACTGCTATCCGACGACCAACAAACAAAGCGATGGGCAGAACATTTCAAGGACATATTAAATAGGCCAAATCCTGACATCATTCCCAATCTAGAAGAAGAAATTATTACACCAACACTAGTTGCCTCCTGCGAGTCATTCACAATAGAGGAGATTAAAACAGTTATTAAAAAATTAAGAATAAACAAAGCTACCGGAGAGGACAACATCTCAGGGGAAATGCTCAAAGCAGCGGATGAAAACACCCTGCAACATTTGCTCCAGCTGATGGATGAAGTATGGCAAAACGAATACCCACCACAAACAATGGAAAGATGGTGTAATCTTCAAATTACCTAAAAAAGGTGATTTATCCGATTGTAACAACTGGAGAGGCATCACCCTGATTTCGATACCAGGGAAACTGTTCTGTAGTATGCTACTAGAAAGATTGAAAAAATTCATAGATGAAAGATTAAGGGAAGAACAAGCCGGTTTTAGATCCAAGCGGTCATGCATAGACCACATCTTTACTCTTAGAATAATTACTGAAGATTATACAGAATTCCAGTCGAAATTATTGATCAACTTTGTCGACTTCCAAAAAGCCTTCGACAGTATGCATCGTCCAACACTATGGAAATTGCTTAACATTTATGGTTTCCCCATCAAATATATCAACATCAAAAAATCTTTTTAGAATGAAACACGATGCTGTGTAAGAACTGATTCCGGCAATTCTGACTGGTTCCCGGTGGAAACAGGAGTGGAGCAAGGCTGTGTCCTATCGCCGATGCTTTTTTGGTATAGCAATCGACTGGGTCATGCGCAAGTGCATAAATAACGCAAATTTAGGCATTACATGGGTTGACAAAATTCTGGAAGACCTAGACTTCGCCGACGACATAGCACTCCCAAGTTCAGAACACACAGACGCCCAAGAAAAAATCAATCGACTCTAGAATTTCTCAGAACAAATTGGACTCCAAAATAACACCGCAAAAACCAAAATTCTAGACCTTACCAACAGTTCAGTTGATATCACGCTGAACAACAACAGCCTTGAAAAAGTCAACAGTTTCACTTATCTAGGGAGCAAGATTTCATCTACAGAAGATACCGCACCAGAAATACCATTTAGAATAGCAATGGCATCTAGTGCCTTCAATAAACTGTCCAACATTTGGAAGTCAAAGACTTAGCAAACACACAAAACTCAAAATCTTCAATTCTTGTGTGATTCCAGTACTAACCTATGGATGCGAGAGCTGGAAATCAACGAAAACTCTAGACACAAAATTAGACAGTTTTGAAAATAAATGCCTTAGAAGAATACTAAATTTCAAATGGTCAGATTTCCGAACCAATACACAAATAAGGCAAGAATCCAGGCAAGAGTATGTGTCTAATTTTATACGAAAACGCCGCTGGAACTATACCGGCCCCGCCCTTAGAATGGATAAATCAAGACTTCCTTACCAAGCCCTCATTTGGACACCACAGGGGAAAAGATCTCGTGGAAGGCTCATAGGCCACTCAAACATCCAAGACCTACAACAGATTGCAACGAACTGCCATGCATGAAGAGTCATGACCTCTGCCCTAAGTGCCGCACTCGACACAAGAGGAAAGACTAACTAACTAACTAACCATACCACACACCACGTCTACAAAATTAGTTACCTACCATACCACACACCACGTCTACAAAAGTGCCTAGAAGGTGCCTTATCACAAATGAAATTATGAGAGAATAATAATAATAATAATAATAATAATAATAATAATAATAATAATAATAAGAAGAAGAAGAAGAAGAAGAAGAAGAAGAAGAAGAAGAAGAAGAAGAAGAAGAAGAAGAAGAAGAAGAAGAAGAAGAAGAAAAAGAAGAAGAAGAAGAAGAAGAAGAAGAAGAAGAAAGAAGAAGAAGAAGAAGAAAGAAGAAGAAAGAAGAAGAAGAAGAAGCAGAAGGAGAAGAAGAAGAAGAAGAAGAAGAAGAAGAAGAAGAAGAAGAAGAAGAAGAAGAAGAAGAAGAAGAAGAAGAAGAAGAAGAAGAAGAACAAGAACAAGAACAAGAACAAGAACAAGAAGAAGAAGAAGAAAAATAAGAAGAATAAGAAGAAAAAGAAGAAAAAGAAGAAGAAGAAGAAGAAGAAGAAGAAGAAGAAAAGAAGAAAAAAGAAGAAGAAGAAGAAGAAGAAGAAGAAAGAAGAAGAAAAAGAAGAAGAAGAAGAAGAAGAAGAAGAAGAAGAAGAAGAAGAAGAAGAAGAAGAAGAAGAAGAAGAAGAAGAAGAAGAAGAAGAAGAAGAAGAAGAAAGAAGAAGAAGAAGAAGAAAACGAAGAAGAAGAAGAAGAAGGAGGAGAAGAAGAAGAAGAAAAGAAGAAGAGAAGAAGAAGAAGAAGAAGAAGAAGAAGAAGAGAAGAAGAAGAAGAAGAAGAAGAAGAAGAAGAAAGAAGAAGAAGAAGAAGAAGAAGAAGAAGAAGAAGAAGAAGAAGAAGAAGAAGAAGAAGAAGAAGAAGAAGAAGAAGAAGAAGAAGAAGAAGAAGAAGAAGAAGAAGAAGAAGAAGAAGAAGAAGAAGAAGAAGAAGAAGAAGAAGAAGAAGAAGAGAAGAAGAAGAAGAAGAAGAAGAAGAAGAAGAAGAAGAAGAAGAAGAAGAAGAAGAAGAAGAAGAAGAAGAAGAAGAAGAAGAAGAAGAAGAAGAAGAAGAAGAAGAAGAAGAAGAAGAAGAAGAAGAAGAAGAAGAAGAAGAAGAAGAAGAAGAAGAAGAAGAAGAAGAAGAAGAAGAAGAAGAAGAAGAAGAAGAAAGAAGAAGAGAAGAAGAAGAAGAAGAAGAAGAAGAAGAAGAAGAAGAAGAAGAAGAAGAAGAAGAAGAAGAAGAAGAAGAAGAAGAAGAAGAAGAAGAAGAAGAAGAAGAAGAAGAAGAAGAAGAAGAATAAGAAGAAGGAAGAAGAAGAAGAAGAAGAAGAAGAAGAAGAAGAAGAAGAAGAAGAAGAAGAAGAAGAAGAAGAAGAAGAAGAAGAAAGAAGAAGAAGAAGAAGAAGAAGAAGAAGAAGAAGAAGAAGAAGAAGAAGAAGAAGAGAAGAACAAGAAGAAGAAGAAGAAGAAGAAGAAGAAGAAGAAGAAGAAGAAGAAGAAGAAGAAGAAGAAGAAGAAGAAGAAGAAGAAGAAGAAAAACAAGAAGAAGAAGAAGAAGAAGAAGAAGAAGAAGAAGAAGAAGAAGAAGAAGAAGAAGAAGAAGAAGAAGAAGAAGAAGAAGAAGAAGAAGAAGAAGAAGAAGAAGAAGAAGAAGAGGAAGAAGAAGAAGAAAGAAGAAGCAGAAGAAGAAGAAGAAGAAGAAAAAGAAGAAAAAGAGGATTATGATAATAAAGATAATGATGATCAAAAAGAAGAAAAAAAAAGATGACGACGACGACGACTTACGGCTGCTAGGTTGTCCGGCTGACCAGTTAGTGTAATTTTTAATTGGTTTATAACTTGGTATCCAAAACCACGTCGACTGGTGGAGTCTGCAAGTACCGCCAATCCAAACACCGTCGACTGTGGAGAGAAAGGTCCAGTTTAGAGCATGCTGTACAGTGAATTTGCTAGCGATCGAAACCCACTGCTGGCTGCGTGGATTGTTACCATAGTATGGGGCGTCCTAGGTCTACCCAGCCTAACATGGGTACCAGGATGACTGTCCTGGGAATGTAAAGACAGCTGGCGTAATGCTGAACACATTACCCACCTAAACCCTATGGTCTTTGAAAATGTGAGTGCTCTTCCCATATACCCGTTACGCATAAAAGACGTGAAAGGAATCTTTACTTTGCTTTATTTACCCATCAATATATCACTTTTAAAAAAAAAGGGGGGGGGGGGGGGAGGGGGAACTCGTTGCTAATGAAAGGAAAAAGGAAAATGATGTTATCGTTACTCTGATATTTACAGTCTTTGAACACAAGAATACAATAGGGTTCATCGAGTCAGTTGACAGGTTTGTGTTACCTAATTCAAGGATCGATTTTCGGTCTACGTTTTTCCCTGAAAAGGAAAAAAAAACGCACCATTGAATTACTGTGTAGTATATTTTACTATTCTTTTCTGCATCTGATGATGTAGCACAAAAATGACTTCTTTCTTTTACTGAACACATCACATACTTAATCTCTTGATGCTGTAGTTGTTTCTCTAATCTTATATTTCCAGATCATACTTGGTTTATGATTGGCTACAACTTCCTCTCTCCCAGTTTTATAAATATATAAAGGTTTAGTTGTTTCATTGACGAATGGTGAGATGACACTGGGCAGATAAACAGAGTAGTAAAGATGTGAAGATTTTGGTGTTTCATAGACGAACGGTGAGATGACACTGGGCAAATAAAAAGAGTAGTAAAGATATGAAACTTTTGATGTTTCATAGACGAATGGTGAGATGACACTGGACAGATAAACAGATTAGTGAAGATATGAAGATTAAGTTGTTTCATAGACCAATGGTGAGATGACACTGGACAAATAAACAGAGTAGTTAAGATATGAAGGTTTAGTTATTTCATAGACCAATGGTGAGATGACACTCGGCAGATAAACAGAGTAGTGAAGATATGAAGGTTTAGTTGTTTCATAGACCAATACTGAGATGACACTAAGCAGGTAAACAAAGTAGTGAAGATATTAGGGTTTAGTTGATTCATAGACGAATGGTAAGATGACACTCGGCAGATAAACAGAGCAGTGAACATGTGAAGGGTTAGTTGTTTCATAGACCAATGGTGAGATAACACCGGGCGGATAAACAGAGTAGTGAAGATGTAAAGGTTCGGTTGTTTCATAGACAAATGGTGAGATGACACTGTTCAGAAAAACAGAGTAGTGAAGATATGAAGGTTTAGTTGTTGCTTAGACCAATGGTGAAATGTCACAGGACAGATAAACAGAGTAGTGAAGATATGAAGATTTAGTTGTTTCATAGACGAGTGGTGAGATGACACTGTGCAGATAAACAGAATAGTGAAGATATGAAGGTTTAGTTGTTTCTTAGACCAATGGTGAAATGACACAGGACAGATAAACAGAGTAGTGAAGATATGAAAATTTAGTTGTTTCATAGACGAACGGTGAGATGACACTGGGCAGATAAACAGAGTAGTGAACATATGAAAGTTTAGTTGTTTCATAGACGAATGGTGAGATGACACTGGGCAGATAAACAGAGTAGTGAAGATATGAAGGTTTAGTTGTTTCCTAAACCAATTATGAGATGACACTGGACAGATAAACAGAGTAGTGAAGATATGAAGGTTTAGTTGTTTCATAAACCAATTATGAGATGACACTGCCCAGAAAAACAGAGTAGTGAAGACATGAAAGTTTAGTGGTTTCATAGACGAATGGTTAGGTGACACTGGGCAGATAAACAGAGTAGTGAAGATATCTTGACATATACTCAGGAAAAGAACTAATTGTCCACATCATAATGAGGCATTCTACATTCCTGACAATGTCATGAGAAGGGAACATGGCAACATGCTAGTGGGAAATATGGAGGGGACAAGAGGCATGAAAGAAGACCAAGGGAGAAAATGCTCGACAGTTTGGCAGCATGACAGTGAATACCCTCTGTGTCAGAACTGATTGCAAGTACAGAAACAGAAAGTTGTGTACATACATGACTACACTGCCTCAAGGCATGGGTGATCGTCTGTGTCAGAACTGATTGCAAGTACAGAAACAGAAAGTTGTATACATACATGACTACACTGTCACAAGGTATGGGTGGCCGCCTGTGTTAGAAATGATAGAGAATAATTGAGTGATATGTTGTGGATATACATGGCTACCAACGCCATGATATAGGGAAGATCAACTGTGCTAGAAATGACTGAAAGTACACGTGGCATGTGGTATTGGTTAGACATGACTACCAGCGCCACAACGTATAGAAGACTGCCTGTGTCAGAATTTGTTGACAGTGCATGAAACAGGAAGTTATAGACACGGCTACCAACGCCACAAGGAATGGAAAATTATCTCTCAGTATTGACTGACATTACACGTGACAAAACGTGGAAAGACACGAAGACCAGCGCAACACGACATGGAAAGTCGTGTATGTTATAACATTACTAGGAATTCTCTCTAAATGAGCAGCCTTTTTTTAAAACTGCTGTTTTTGTATATTGTTCAAAAGTGGTACCTAACCGAGTCGTTGACCTCATTATCATCATCGTCGTCGCCGATATCAACATCATCTAAGGGTCATGGCGACTCTCTTAAGCTTCTGGTCTCCAACGGCTTGTATCTCCGTTCCATGTCTTCCTCTGTGTGTCTTTTCACAACTCGTCCCTGTGGTCACAACATATTCTAATTTCCCTTTTGCCATAACATGGCCACAAATGACTAGTTTCCTTTTGACGTTTGCCACAAGTTGCTTTTGGACCCCCGCCTCTGTCTCATTCTTCTTCGAGTTCACCGGATGTTAACTCCGGCGTAAAGGTCTTGTTGTTCCTCCATTCTTGACGTTGGTCTCCTTTAAGTTTTGTCTGCACTTCCGTTTCACATAGGTGGTTTATATGTATGCAGACTGTTGGTTCCTTGCCTGTCGCGCAGATGCACTCCAATGTCTAAAGAAACATTCCTAATAAGTTGACTCTTACGACATGCTTGCTAGGGGCAGTGGATCCGTCTCTCGCCGCCACATTGGGACCTCTCAAATGGTACGGGCTATGGGTTACTCACTGATGCTTTCTAAGGAATTTGGCGCAGTTTTCTTTCACTTTTGTTCAACATTCTTTCTTCAGTTCCTGAAGTGGTCAAGCTGATAGCCTGGCGTTCTGAAGGTCGGGGGGTGTTTTCACGGCTGTATCGTTAAGTTCAACCCTGCAAATTTTTATGGAGAATTCCCAAGGATCATTGCAAGAGCTATAGTGTTCGTGCTTTGTGCGACGCTCTCGGCAAGCAGCTATCCGTTTTGCAGAGAGAAAGAGAGAGAGAGAGAGAGAGAGAGAGAGAGAGAGAGAGAGAGAGATCGCGTGATGTTGGATCAAAGTTGGTGCAATGAAGCTAATCCTAGCAAATATGATATTTTTTGCTGTTTTTGTACGTAGCTCAGCTTCGTTCAGGCGAATATATCCGATTTCACGAACGGAATCGATTCTCCTCTACCCTGGGATGCAGACGCTTGCCAGAGACATCGACACTCTGCGAGAGTAGTTTTAATTTTAACTTTGTTCCACTCCAGTCCTCTCTCAGTCAGTCATGGACTGTCAGATGTCGTCTTCCCAGCAGACCCTGGGGCGCCCTAGTGGTCTGGTTCCCTGAATCTTGGCCTCGCATGCCTGCCACACTGCCCGATTGTCTCACATTTGGCGTACATATCCAAACCATTGTAACTGTGACTGAACTACTCGAGCAACATACGATTTCAGCAAGTAATTAATTAATTGGCTTTGGCGGCATTCGAATTACGATCAATGCGACTCTGACGTTAACGTTTTAAAAATAGTTTTTTATAGTCAATTTTTGTTTTGGGAGACATGGTAAGCTGCCAAAATATCATTCATGGAAATTATACACACACACACATATACACATACACACACCACACACACACACACACACACACACACACACACATGTGATCAATACCGCAAAATGGATTCGTAGTAAAAGACCCTTTTCCCCGCCGGCAAGTGTATAGGACATAAAGGGCTAGTCCTATAACTTTAAACCAACCGGCATTTGTGGGTGATGCTAACATCGGTCCAGCCTCCTTTACTCCCTATTACTTTTCCTTGTAGCCATTCCAAGCTAGGTAAACCTGACAGAGAATGTCATTTTTTAAAGGAAAAAGTATGGCTCCGTTGATTTCTAAACCATGCAGCAGTGTCAAGACTTCCTGGATCTGTAATGGCTGATGAGGGGCAGACAGAGAGCAATAACAAAAACGTTAACGGCGACAATGATCCTGACGATAATAATTACTATGATGATGAATTCAATGTATACCTTAGATAATATTTTGAACACAGAAACAATCAGTAGAGCTAGCTTGGAGTGACTACTGCATTGGAGCACTGAGCACAAATCCCAAGATTCAAAGACGATTGTGATAACATAACAACGCAAACTTTTGAAATCAATTTGAAGGAATCGGAGACAATGAACCACTTGCTGGAAATAGGTGTCAAACGAGGACAAGCAAGCCGAAACCGGTTTCGCGGCAAAAGATGATGATATGCAGGTCAACGTCTACTCAATACTGTGAGCATGGAGACATTGAGATGGCTGCTGCATGGGAGGACGGCGTACGAATGGGTCGGGACGATGTGCTCTGGTGTGGACATGGACAACATGTAACCAGTAACAAAAAAAATAATTTTACATACGATTTTTCTCTTTCAGCGTTTTCACCAACCACTCCTGTTTCTCTTTGCTATCGACTTGAATCAGTCGGGCACCGTACAGTTTACACGAAGCCTGAAAATGAAATTGATAAATGGCAGAGAACTGAAGCAGCTTTTTGTGTGAGTGCCACCAGCTAGAAAAACCTTTTTGTATAACAATCGGTACTTGATGTGTAATGTAATTATTGTCGCTGTTGTTCGTGATGAGGATCACTCTTTCTTTCACCGTTTATGAAACTATAGCTGATTGTCTGTAAGTTGGCAGATGATTTATAAGCTCAATACGGGCCCTGAAGGATCTAGAACAATGATGACAGGAAACAGTGTCTGCAAGCAAAGGGCTGTTATACAGGTCTTTCTAGCCTGTCTGTTCAGCTGCCCTATTTATAGATGCCTCGCAAGTCGCTGCTCCCTTTATAGATGCCTCGCAAATCGCTGCTCCCTTTATAGATGCCTCGCAAGTCTTCGGACAAACGTTCACATGTAGCAGCAGCCTTCCAAGTGTAATTAAAGTTCGTTGGTTTAAAAAAAAAATTATCGCCTCCCTAATACTGAGCGGCGGTTATGTTGGGACTGTGTTTCTTTGCTTGGGTTTCCTTTTTTTTTTGCAGTTTGCAACGTATCAACATGATTTGTCCTATTTCTGTATGCAGAGAGGGGATCTCGGTCCGCCCTGAAAAGGATAGGCCATTTGCCTGGGGCAGCACTGGAATCATTACATCTCCCACCAATACTTTGATGAGGTACAAGGTGGAAGAGAAGAAAAAGAAGAAGACGCACTGGAATCGGGTGGTGTGGGATTGGGTCAGGTGTAGATCAACATGCCTGGCTGGTCTCGAGCTGTGGGGTTTTTCGGGCTGCTGAGCTGGTTTTGTGTGCTGTCATGGCGGCTTGCGTGGTTTTATTGGTTGCTTTTTGTGGGTTATCGTGTTTTCTGTGCCACGTGGGGTACGTCTTCTTTTGAGTGCGCTGCTATTTTCGTTTTGCTGTTCCTTATGCTTTAAAGTTAAAGTTGTCGGTTAACCTCCTCGAGATGCTTGACTTCGCTGTGCACTTTTGCGAAGTCGTCTTTCAAATATTCCTTGAGATTGTTCATGCCCTGTATACATTTCTTCTATTCATCACCGGGGTTGGCGGTTTCAGAGTATTTGTCGTGGATCTGCCTTTTTCTTTCTTTTTTTTTTTTTTTTTGCGTTTTGTCTTGCGTCTATCACTTTGTTTGTGGCTTGGAGTGCAGAGTTCAGTTTAGCAAATTCTTTATTTAACTTGGATAGCTTTCCTTTGGTTTTTATCAATTCTTTCTTGATAGTGGCGACCTCAGACAGTAGGCGTATCTGGTTTTCTTTTAGTTCTTCTGTTGTTTCGGCGTTCGCTTTCTTCGTCATCTTGAGGTCGGCTTCTAGGTAGTGACAACTTCAGCTGGTAATTGGGTCTCGACTGGGGCGTCTTCAGGTGTCGGCTTCGTCTTCTCCGTCTGGGCTGGCGCAAAGATATGTGCGTCTTCCATGTTCGCAGATGTCGGCCGAGTGGTGCCGTAATGTCGCTGTTTCTGTTGACTGGTTTTTTTCAAGGCCCATAATGAAGTAGAGGCATCTGGCAAGGCGGTAATTATCAGACGACTTGCGATAGCTTGGTCTCTGAAGATTCGGCAAACCTTGTTGAGAATGACTCTAATGGTGCGTTCCTAACAGTATTCAAGGCAGTCGCTTTGATAATGGTACGTAAACGGGCTGCTAAAACCCAAACGAAGCGCCGACCAAGATAACTAGTCAAGACTGACTCAGCCGAAAATCTAATGAATCGGTTTCGAGTATCTAGTTATCGAGAATCCGGCGACGAATGGAGCGTTAGCGATCAAGCGGACGACGAGAGGTGCGGACGATCAGTGTATTTAACGGCTTTATATGATGCCTTTAGCGGGTTTTTTACTGGCCTTATCTATTATACACGATTAGTTTTGGCAACCGTTGGTCTCGATGGAGCGGACGAGGTGACCTGCCCATCGAATCTATGAGTGCATCAGGTTGGTATCGATGCTGGGAATGCCAGCTCTATACAATGTTGAATGTTGAATATTAAAAAAGGAATTGACATCACAGCCCTCGGGACACTCCCATAAGTGCTCAGTCCCCATCTTCAACAACAAGCGAAGAATTTCACTTCCAAACGTACCAGTAACCATCTGATTGTGTATCCGCCATATACTTTCCCTGAATTTTGAGCGTCGGCCAGATCCCCTGTTTACTCCTCACAGCGCCATTCTCCTTAGACTGTAATGGTCTATCTTCGCCTCCGCACTGTTAACTTGCTCCCAAAGGGCCCTTACATTATCTAACTTGTCATACATCAGTTCACCACCGTGTAGTGCAGAACCGGCAAGTTTACTTGCGTGCTCATTTCCCTAGAAGAAATATTCAAAGGATGCTAACTACCCGGGACCTCTGAAGTGATGCTCTCCACTCTGCCCGAATCATGCCTGTTTTCCCTTTTCTTAACATGCTCTCTGAGTCAGTAACAATCACTGCATGTTTACAGCTGATTCTCAAGCCAGCGGAAGGCAGCAGAGCCTGCCTCCGCCTCCATTCCTAAACCAGACGTTGTGATATCATATGCAGGGCTTTGCTGCACTAGGCGACGTCTATTTGCCTTTGCTATAAACCCACATGCACTTCGTCTGCCCCTCAACACAGAGCCATCTGCATATACAATCACATCACTTTGGCGGGAATCGTTATAAATCATTTGTTGAACTTCTGATTCTGCAGCACCAGCTGGCCAGTCTCTTCACTCACGACCTAAAGTGATTAGAACCCTACACAAGTCTGAAACTTACTGGGTCACCTTGACCCACTTCTCTCGTCGCTCAAAAGTATCAAGCCTGCCCACGTCTGATTGTGTCTTCAGCTTGCGCCATGCAAGACCTTCCTCATTCCAGTCTTTGACCCTTAGCTCTACACAGGGCTTCATGCAGGAGGTTTTTCTTGTCTGCAGCTACACTGAGATATGACTTTGCTTGCAGAACTTTGAGCCTATCTGCAGTAGTAGACAGTGCAAGTATATATATCGCATACATACCACTGGGGTATCTTTTGTACATCCCAGAATGAAGGTCGAAGGTTTTGGTCCTGACATAGAAGGACTTTTTGTGTGTGGTCAAGGCGAGCGGCTGGATGTTGACCACATCACCCGCCGAGTGCCGATTGATCTAGAAAATAAAGGTCCAGCCCAGTATGCCCTGTTAGCCAGAAGACGTGGACAGAGGCCCTTAACTTTACTTGTCTTTTAAACCTACTAAAAGTTTGTGAATGGGGAATTGTGTTTTTGGCCTAGACATTGCGATGTCACTTCATAATTCTGCGATTGGGTATTGGATCCCAACTAATCATCATCATGTAGCTGGTCCTTTGCGGAACTGTGGAACGTCTCTCTTATCACGGTCTGCCTGAACGAAACTGTCTCTCAGCTCTCTCGCCTCATCTACTTTCATACTCAAGGAGCCACTTATATCGTGCGCCCATCTTCGTGGTGATCGGCCCTGCCCCTCCTTCCTGGTACCATGCTTCCTGCTATAATTTTTTTCAAATCCGTCGTGGCCCTTGGTAGGATCAAAATATTTCAGCTTCCAAGACAGGATGCTACTTATAAGCCAATCTTCCTTGGTGTTCAAATTTTTCAGTATTTCTTTTCTTTTTCGTCTAAGATATTATGAGAATCTTTCTATAGCATTTCAGCAAAGCTCCTATTCTCTTTCTTAAGGACTGGGAGATAGTCCACGACTCACATCCGTATGTTGCCACAGGGCAGATGCATGCTCTCAAAATTCTAATTTTGATTTCCTCGCTGGTGCTTAACCATAGACTTTCAGGTTGTTTAATCTTTGCGTTCCTATGGCCATCCTTCTTTTAATTTCGGTCAGACAGTCTCCATTGCTATTTATTATAGAGCCTAGATATTCAAAGTTTGTGACATTTTGTATTTCTCTACAATTTATTGTTATTTTTGGGGACAGACAGTTTTATCTGTTTACATTATTTTGGTTTTCTTTAAATTCAAGAACAGATTTTGACCGTCACTGTGCTTTTGGACAGACAATATTAAATGTTCCATTTCCTTTACGCTGTTCGTAAGGAGGACTGTGTCATCTGCAAAGCGAAGTTCCGGAATAGGGTTGCCACTAATTTTGAGCGGATGATAACTGTCACAAGCCTTTTGTAGGAAATTTTTGACATTTCTCATTATATTTTCCAGCTACTACCTACTGTTATTATACGCTGAATGGCAAGAAATGGGAGATTTGGCATTCTTTATTTTTGACAACGGTATCGACAGCCGACCGTTAAGTAACCAATGGCAAACTACTGAACGTAATAAATTGCCGTTTATCATAATAAACAACCACAAAGTGCCGGGTTTAGTTCTGAGACGTCCTATAATGGTTACACAAGAAACCTCAATCAAGAAATTACCTGAAATAGCAGCAACTTACCTGAGCACTCAGCCACGGTAGAGAGTCAGGGTTACAGCAACTTACATGAGCGCTCAGCCACGGTAGAGAGTCAGGGTTAAAGCAACTTATTCCGTGCGGATGGACCTGTGTCATCCCCACAACCCAACTCTGGTTATGCCTTATTGGCCAACCCCTCCCTTCCTCTTTAGACACTCAGTTTTCGCTGTTGTGTTTGTGTGCGTCTACCCCGCCCATTTCCTATTTATACTGACCCCGTTTTTTTCGCTCCCCGTCCACGCGTTGGTGATATTTAGGCCAGTATCTGTCCTTGACATCCTCTTGAAGGAATATTTTCACCAGGAAAAGTATCATTTATTTTGTACATTAAAGTCCCATGTAGTCACTTCATAGTTAGAGCATATTTGTGTATGTGTACTGTGTTGTTCTTAATGTGCTGATAGAGGCTAATCGCCGCATCATCCTTTGTTTGTTTTTTGTGATCGATTTTGTAAAGCTAACATAAACTGTTTGTTCTTTCTTACCAACTTTTTTCTTCACTATAATTTCCTGCCACTTTAAAAACAGCAACTTGCCTGAGCACTCAGCCATGGTAGAGAGTCAGGGTTACAGCAGCTTACCTGAGCACTGAGCCACAGTAGATAGTCAGGGTTACAGCAACTTACCTGAGCGCTCAGCAACGATAGAGAGTCAGGGTTACAGCAACGTACCTGTGCACTGAGCCACGGTAGAGAGTCAGGGTTACAGCAACTTACCTGAGCACTCAGCCACGGTAGAGAGTCAGGGTTACAACAACTTACCTGAGCACTCAGCCATGGTAGAGAGTCAGGGTTACAGCAACTTACCTGAGCGCTCAGCCACGGTTGATAGTCAGGGTTGAAGCTGTAGCAAACTCCTTTGAATTCCACCCAGCCAAGCCAACAGGCCCCAAGAGCTGGAATAAAGGTACACAATTACACACAAGCCCAGACCATTTCCGACATGGGTAGTGTTGTATCTAGGCATTAGATAGTAAGTTGTAGCTGAGGACCTCACAATCTACAAGGGCTTCAATAAATGAACACAATTGTTCCCAAATTCAGTTGTCTTTTCATGGAGACCTAAATGATCCTATACTATAAAATGTGTGATTTTTCACACACATAATTTATTTTTATTTTCCTTAAAAATTAACAACAATTTATTTGTATCACACACACACACATATATATATATATATATATATATATATATATATATATATATATATATTATATATATATATATTAGCTGTACCTGGCCACGCGTTGCTGTGGCGTAATATAAGATAGTCTTTGATCCCCCCACCCCCCCCCCCGCCCCCCACAACTAAATCCACCTAGTACCCTCTCCCTCATCAAAGGTTTTTAGAAAAGAAAGACAATGGAAATCGCACCTGTCTAATGAAGTTAATGACGCAGTCAATGTCTGCGCCGACGTCGAGATAGTCCTTGATAGCCCCCCCCCCCCCCCCCCCCCCACTATCGAAGGTTGTTTGGAAAAAAAACAGAAAAAAGAAATCGTGTTTAATATAGTTTTTGTGGCAAAAATTGAGACAGTCTTGTTTGCGGTACCTCGACCTACTCTATGTATTAAGGCGTTGGCTGCACGTAACTCGCCGGCGAATGGCGGAAGCCTTGCGTTCTGACTACGGCGGCGCATGCGCAATTACTAACGTGGCTATAATTAGAAATCACTGAAGTTATAAATATTAGTTGCGAATATTATGGCATAAATTGTGGTCACCTATCTCTAACAGTGACAGGTTGAATTTCAAACCACGATGGTTCAAAATCCGGTATCAAAACAAACATATCCTGAAAATTTCAGCTAAATCGGTTCAGTAGTTTCCGAGTCTATAGAGACCAAACAAACACACAAACTTTGATTTATATATATATACTAGCTGTACCCGGCCACGCGTTGCTGTGGCGTAATTTGACTACATGGAAAATAGAGAACATAGAAATGTGTCTTCCCTTCACGCTAGCGATGTACAGAGCAACAGCTAAACCACAGCTAATAAAACTGGTTACAAAAGTGGTTATTTGGTTATCACATGCTAAAGCTGTTTGTATTTTTATAGGAGACGGAAGTAAAGCTACAACTGTACTTGTAAATAACAAGTAAGTCGTAAAAATAGAGAAAAGCGGAGGTAGCGTTAGTAAAATATAAACAAATTAGGTAATGAGAACTTGAAAATCACGTGTAAAGCTCTTTAAGTTCTCTTAAATTTTAAGTCATTACCCCCCTCCCCTCCCCTCTTCCACCGACTACTGCTCTCTCCCTCTTCGAAGGATTTGAAAATCACTAACTGGCGATATTTTGTTGTTGCTGTAACTGACATTGACATCCCTGTCCATCTGGACTAAAATAAGGAGCAGGAATTGTAAAAGGTAGTGAATAGGGCTAGTGAAATATTTACCACATCATCCTTCAAGTACCAGTACAACTACTAAAATAATGTCATTGCTATCTGTGTTACCATCGGAGTAGACAGAGAGTCGTGAGCCAGAAGATTTGGTTCCGCATGGCTAGTGCTGTCGCCACAGACTGGTCAGGTTAGGATGTATAATTTCACTTGCCGACAGAAGAACGCCATAACCTTACCGGCGGTCTTCACATGATAGCACTATGGTGTAACAGCCCAACCACAACTATTACTGCTGCTGCTACTTTAAGTGGGTAAAGCAGTTACTGTGACTTAAAGCTCTCTCAGTTAATAGTTTGCACCCCCCTCCCCCCAAATTCACCGACAAATCTTTCCCACATTGAAGTAGTTGGGAGGAAGAAAAAACAACACTTGAAAAGCAAATGAACACAGGAAAAAAAAACACCATAATTAGGAAATGAACGCCATTGTAAACAGCACAGCTTAAAATTCCAACACAGATGAAATAACTAAATCTAAATGAAAATAAATGAAAATCTATAAAATTTCAGCGTAACCATGCAATCGGAAAGTTTAACAATGCAATCATAAGTATGCGAAATGGTCAAATTTAATTATCTAATGGTTTACCCATTTACTGTTTTTTTTTTTTTTTTTTTTTTTTTTTTTTTTTTTATATTAAGGCAACATGGCTAGTGCTGTCACCACGACAGAGCAGATGAGGATATTATTTTAGTCCGGGGTAAAATAAAAAATTAACTACTGCGGATTCGAACCCAGGTCTACCGCACTTGAACCCAGTGTTATAACCATTCGACCAAGCAGCCACTTAATCGGAAAACAAAAAGAGAACACAACTATTAGACATATGTGTCCCTACCACTGTGTCGCGATTAAAACACAATTCAAAACCGCAGGCAATTGTTTTCTCCTAGACAGATACTCCAGATATGTTAAGGAAATAGAAATCGCACGTGTCTAACACAGTTAATGAAGTTAATGTCGCAGTCACTGTCTCCCCCGACGTCGAGATAGTCCCTCGATTGCCCCCCCCCCCCCCCCCCCCCCAATCGAAGTTTGTTTGAAAAAAAAAAAAGAAAATAGAAATCGTGTTTAATATGGTTATTGTGGCAAATAAAGAGATAGTCTTGTTTGCTGTACCACGACCTACTCTATGTATTAGTATTAGAGAAGGCGTTGGCTGCACGTATAACTCGCCGGCGAATGGTAAATACGGCGCATGCGCAATTACTAACGTGGCTATAATTAGAAATCACTAAAGTTATAAATATTAGTTGCGTATATTTTGGCATTAATTGTGGTCACCTATCTCTAACAGTGACAGGTTGAATTTCAAACCACGACGGTTCAAAATCCGGTATCACAACAAACATGTCCTGAAAATTTCAGCTAAATCGGTTCAGTAGTTTCCGAGTCTTTAGGGGTAAAACAAACACACAAACATTGATTTTTATATATATAGACTAGCTGTACCCGGCCACGCGTTGCTGTGGCGTAATTTGACTACATGGAAAATAGAGAACATAGAAATGTGTCTTCCCTTCACGCTAGCGATGTACAGAGCAACAGCTAAACCACAGCTAATAAAACTGGTTACAAAAGTGGTTATTTGGTTATCACATGCTAAAGCTGTTTGTATTTTTATAGGAGATGGAAGTAAAGCTACAACTGTGCTTGTAAATAACAAAGTAAGTCGTAAAAAATAGAAAAGCGGAGGTAGCGTTAGTAAAATATAAACAAATTAGGTAATGAGAACTTGAAAATCACGTGTAAAGCTCTTTAAGTTCTCTTAAATTTAAGTCATTACCCCCCTCCCTTCCCCTCTTCCATCGATAACTGCTCTCTCCCTCTTCGAAGGATTTGAAAATCACTAACTGGCGATATTTTGTTGTTGCTGTAACTGACATTGACATCCCTGTCCATCTGGACTAAAATAAGGAGCAGGAATTGTAAAAGGTAGTGAATAGGGCTAGTGAAATATTTACCACATCATCCTTCAAGTACCAGTACAACTACTAAAATAATGTCATTGCTATCTGTGTTACCATCGGAGTAGACAGAGAGTCGTGAGCCAGAAGATTTGGTTCCGCATGGCTAGTGCTGTCGCCACAGACAGGTCAGGTTAGGATGTATAATTTCACTTGCCGACAGAAGAACGCCATAACCTTACCGGCGGTCTTCACATGATAGCACTATGGTGTAACAGCCCAACCACAACTATTACTGCTGCTGCCACTTTAAGTGGGTAAAGCAGTTACTGTGACTTAAAGCTCTCTCAGTTAATAGTTTGCACCCCCCTCCCCCCAAATTCACCGACAACTCTTTCCCACATTGAAGTAGTTGGGAGGAAGAAAAAACAACACTTGAAAAGCAAATGAACACAGGAAAAAAAAACCATAATTAGGAAATGAACGCCATTGTAAACAGCACAGCTTAAAATTCCAACACAGATGAAATAACTAAATCTAAATGAAAATAAATGAAAATCTATAAAATTTCAGCGTAACCATGCAATCGGAAAGTTTAACAATGCAATCATAAGTATGCGAAATGGTCAAATTTAATTATCAAATGGTTTACCCATTTACTGTTTTTTTTTTTTTTTTTTTTTTTTTTTTTTTTAAATATTAAGGCAACATGGCTAGTGCTGTCACCACGACAGAGCAGATGAGGATATTATTTTAGTCCAGGGTAAAAAAAAAAATTAACTACTGCGGATTCGAACCCAGGTCTACCGCACTTGAACCCAGTGTTCTAACCATTCGACCAAGCAGCCACTTAATCGGAAAACAAAAAGAAAACACAACTATTAGACATATGTGTCCCTACCACTGTGTCGCGATTAAAACACAATTCAAAACCGCAGGCAATTGTTTTCTCCTAGACAGATACTCCAGATATGTTAATGAAATAGAAATCGCACGTGTCTAATACAGTTAATGAAGTTAATGTCGCAGTCACTGTCTCCCCCGACGTCGAGATAGTCCTCGATCGGCCCCCCCCCCCCCCCCCCCCATCGAAGGTTGTTTGAAAAAAAAAAAAAGAAAATAGAAATCGTGTTTAATATGGTTATTGTGGCAAATATAGAGATAGTCTTGTTTGCTGTACCACGACCTACTCTATGTATTAGTATTAGAGAAGGCGTTGGCTGCACGTATAACTCGCCGGCGAATGGTAAATACGGCGCATGCGCAATTACTAACGTGGCTATAATTAGAAATCACTAAAGTTATAAATATTAGTTGCGTATATTTTGGCATTAATTGTGGTCACCTATCTTTAACAGTGACAGGTTGAATTTCAAACCACGACGGTTCAAAATCCGGTATCACAACAAACATGTCCTGAAAATTTCAGCTAAATCGGTTCAGTAGTTTCCGAGTCTATAAGGGTGAAACAAACACACAAACATTGATTTATATATATATATATATATATATATATATATATATATATATAAATCAATGTTTGTGTGTTTGTTTCATATATATATATATATATAT